CGGCCAGGCGTGGTGGCTCACACCTGTAATCCCAGCACTTTGGGAGGCTGTGGTAGATAGATCACTTGAGCTCAGGAGTTCAAGACCAGCCTGGGCAACATGGTGAAACCCCATCTCTACAAAACATACAAAAATTAGCTGGGTGTGGTAGTAATCCTGTAATCCCAGCTACTCAGGAGGCTGAGGTGAGAGGATTGCTTGCATCTGTGAAGTGGAGGTTACGGTGAGCTGAGTCATGCCACTGCACTTCAATCTGGGTGACAGGGTGAGACCTTGTCTTAAACAAAAAGTAGCGAGAGGTGGGGAGGGGAAGGAGAAAGAAAATCAATCTTTAAAAAAAAAATCAGAAAATCTGAGAAGCAAGGAAAGAGCAGGAATGTTCACACAGGAAGTCAGGGAGACCTGCAAGGAGTGGGGTGCTAACAGACCTGAGCATCTAATGAGAGTGCGTCTAGAGACTGTTACAATCCAGCCAGTAACATAGGTTTCTCTGGCTTCAGCAGCTCTAAGCCTTACAGAAACTTCAGCAGGGACCAACGGGGCTAAATAAAGTAGTGCCTTCAAGAGTATAGTCTCCCTTCTAAGTACTAGGCCCTTAAGTACCCTCAAAAAATAAATACTGTTTCTCTTGATTCAAGTAGGCCCACTTGCTCCTCCCTTAGGCACGGAGTCCTCTTGCATTCACATCTCTGGCTTCAATGCCAATGCCTTAAATTCCTTTAAACAAGGGGAGAAAACATTTTCGTTCCACAGTCAAAGAAAAACATGACAAAAATGCAAAAGGTTTGCTACGACAATACTGAGTTAAATGGAACTTCAGGTAATCACCCTGCAAAGTGGGACCTGATGATGCATCTTTAGGAGAGGCCAGACAGACTAACAGTTTATTGAGACCTACTATGTCTTTCACATCATGGTCAGCAGAAGTGAATTTAAATCAATTTGTATAATTTCCAAGGTCCTAGTAAATATTTACTGAATGATTTAAGAAATAAACCTAAGTAGCAATCTATAAGACATTACCATGTGTCCAAGGAGGAAGAATTTAAAAAGCAGGAGAGCATCAGATCAAGTGGTAAAAGGTCATACAAGGTAAAAGTTAAAAGAGCTAAGGATACAGTAATAGAGGAACTGTAGACGTCAACAGTGACTAGAATCACATTTACTCTCCCATGAAAAAGATGAAAAAGAAGCAAGACAGACCAGTCTGGAGTTAGACTGCCTGGATTTAAATCCTATCTTTGGCATTTACTAGCTCTGTGACACTGGGTAAATAATTCCTCTGTGCCTCCATTTCCGCATCCCTAAAATAAATAACTAAATCTATCTCACTGGGTTACTATGAAAACCAAATGAGTTAATACAAGTTAAGACAATACATGGCACATAGTAAATATTATTTAAATATTAATTGCAATTATTATTATCATTATTGTAGTCTGAGATCAAGTTAGGAAGCTCTGTAATTGCACAGAAACACCTTGTTCTCAGGAAAGTCACTAATGGAAATGTTTCTGTAAAGAAGGGACATAAGCAGAGGAGTATGTTAGTGCAGAAACTCATGATTACCTGGGGAATAATTAAGCAGATTTTAGGTATTAGTCTTTTTTTTCTCTCTTTCTCTTTGTTGGTATTTTTCTGGTTAGAGTCATTCTTTTGTCATTAAAGGGTGAGAAGAGGTATCAAAAATTAGACAAAACATAAACTAGTATATTCTGACAACTGTTGACAATTCAAATTACTTAGCTGGAAAGGAACATAGCAACATTGACTTAGATAAAACATTCGGATACTCTCCATGCCTTAAATAATAAGGGCATGAGAACAAGAGGAACTCAGGTCAAACATTCACAACAAAATTTCATCTCAAGACTTAAAAAACATAAAGGAGAGCTTGTTACACTAACGTGAGTATGGTGAAAATCAGGCAAACTTAACTTCTTTAAGTCAAAACTGATCTTTGGTTTTTAGGAAGAGCTATTTAGAAACATGACCATAAAGAATACATCTCAGGCCAGGCACAGTGGCTCACGCCTGTAATCCCAGAACTTTGAGAGGCAGAGGCGGGTGGATCACAAGGTCAGGAGTTCGAGACCAGCCTGACCAACATGGTGAAACCCTGTCACTACTAAAAATACAAAATAGCCGGGCGTGGTAGTGTGCACCTGTAGTCCCAGCTACTCAAGAGACTGGGGCAGAAGAATCACTTGAACTCAGGATGTGGAGGTTGCAGTGGGCTGAGATTGTGACACTGTACTCCAGCCCGGGTGACCAGAGCAAGACTCCATCCAAAAAAAAAAAAAAAAAAATTACATCTCAGGTAACACAAACAGACTCACTCTGTCACCGGGTGCCAGGCTGGAGTACAGTGGTGCGATCTCAGCTCACTGCAACCTCCACCACCTGGGTTCAAGCAATTCTTCTGCCTCACCCTACCATGTAGCTGGTACTACGGGCATCTGCCACCACGCCTGGCTAATTTTTGTATTTTTAGTACAGATGGGGTTTCACCACCTTGCCAGAATGGTCTTCAACTCCTGACCTTGTGATCAACCCACTTCAGCCTCCCAAAGTGCTGGGATTACAGGTGTGAGCCGTCAGGACTGGCTTTTTTTTTTTTTTTTTTTTTTTTTTTTTTGTTTTTTTTTTTTTTTTTTTTTCTTTTTTTTAGACAAAGTCTCACTCTGTCGCCCAGGCTGGCGCCATCTCAGCTCATTACAACCTCTGCCTCGCAGGTTCAAGCGATTCTCCTGCCTCGGCGTCCAAAGTAACTGGAATTACAGATGTGTACCACCAGGCCCAGCTAATTTTTGTATTTTTAGTAGAGACAGGGTTTTGCCATGTTGGTCAGGCTGGTCTCGAACTCCTGACCTCAGATGATCCACCCGCCTTGGCCTCCCAAAGTGCTGGGATTACAAGCGTGAGCCACCTCGCCCAGCTGCCTCTAAATTTTTAATATTGATGTTTGAGAGATAGTCTACTTCTACTTACCAAGAGGAAAAGACATAAACATATTAAACATCAAGCATTTTATATACATTTCCCAGTTAATCTACATAATAACCCTATGAATACAGATGAGAAAACTAAAGGTGAAGGAAATAAAGAAGTCTTCCCACAGTAACACTGCCTATAAAATGATGGAATAAGCTCAGGATGTTTTGAATTCAAAGCTCATGTATGCTCTGTGCACTTCACTCTGCTTCCTGAGGCAGGTGAGATATTTTAGTATCTACTTGCCTGAATGTTAATGTCTGCCCACAAAAATAAGTTGGAGCTCTGGAGTAGAGAACACCTGATGATTCAGAATCGTTCCGGAGTGCTATATTTCTTCGACTGCTCAGACTGTACCCCTCAAATCCAGCTGTCCATTCTTTTTAAAAGCAAAGATATTGAAAACTGTTAGAATCTCTTGAGGAATATCTTCAATACAGACACATCAAATAAAACATGAAAATGGGAAAGACTACTCGTAGGGGCCATGGTCAAGTTCAATAAAAGAAAAGATTCTGCTAACAGAGTATCATGATGAGTCCCACACATTATAAAAAAGATTTTAGTACATTCTTGCATAATTTTGGCATAACAAATCAAATAAGTGTTATCTCCTATCTAATAAAATCACAGTTCAAACATAATTGCTTGAACTTATTCCAACCTCATAAAAATCTAATTAATAAATGAGTCTATATCTTCTAAAAAAGAATGCAGGAGAGAGATCAATTTCAAATCATAAGACTTTTAAGAAAATGTTCCTCTCCAGATATTTCTTGAGGTTTTGGAAAATCAGCATCAGCTGGGCACAGTGGCTCCTGCCTACAATCCCAGAATTTTGGGAGGTCAAAGCAAGAGGATTGCTTAAGCCCAGGAATTCAAGACCAGCCTAGGCAACATAGCAGACCCCGTCTCAACAAAAAAATAAAAAATTAGCCAGGCATGGGGTGCACGCAGGTGGCCCCAGCTACTTGGGAGGCTGAGGGAGGAGGATCTCGAGGTCAGGCTGCAGTGAGCCATGATTGTACCACTGCACGCCAGCCTGGGTGACAGAGCGAGACCTTGTCTCAAAAAAACTAAACAAATAAAATTAAAAGTAAAAAAAGAAGAAGGGCCGGGTGTGGTGGCTCATGCCTGTAATCCAAGCACTTTGGAGGCCAAGGAGGGTGGATCACCCGAGGTCGGGAGTTCAAGACCAACCTGACCAACATGGTGAAACCTTGTCTTTAAAAAAAAAAAAAAATTAGCCAGACAAGGTGGCATTCACCTGTAATCCCAGCTACTCAGGAAGCTGAGGTGGGACGCTTGGGCCCAGGAGGCTGCAGGGAGCTAAGATCATGTCTCTATGCTCCAGCCTGGGTGATGAAGTGAGACTTCATTAAAAAAAAAAAA